AGAAGTAGAGTTATCTTCTCATTGCAAAAAAGAAGCAAGTTTCTAAAGTCAACCAGTGGAGTCACCTTTTATGCACATCAACATTGGCCTCACTGTCTGGACTTGCAGTCTACAGCCATTTTCATTTTCAGACTACAGCCCAAACTCCACCGCAACACAAAGAAGAAGACATAATAATGCTATATATTTTTAGCCCCCAGCAACAAGGCAACACAGTGTTTGTGTTTTTAATATTTTAAAAGATAAGCAATGACAGTTTACACAGTATTTCAGCATCCTGCATCAACATGTGTCTGCAAATAGCATCATGAAGGGTGGTGTTATTTCTATATTCAATTAATGAACCTTGGATCCGGTGTGAAACTGAATTTATGCATTTGTTAACAAATTGGTTACAGTGGCTACAGGTTTAATACAAGTCTGTGGGAAACACCTTATTCACTGATTTAATCACAGACCTATAGCTTTCTGCAGAATTCCAAAAATAAATGGCAACTTGAATCAGTGACTCAATTCAGTATCTTCATTTGGTGGAAGTACATCCAGTGAAATGAAGGAGATTCTTACAGGTGCTACTATGACAAAGTAATGCCTGAGAAATGATCACACATCACAATGTCCAGCCGAGGGTTGCTGACACAATAGAATTTCTTCAATGAAAAAAAAAAAACGAAACCTCTTGCAGTCAGACAAATTGAAAGCAGAAATACCAGAGAAGGGAAGAGGCTAACTTTAATACCAGTGGTTTAGAAATACATTCTTACATTGACGTGACAGCAACAAGCTACAAAAGCAATTATGGGCTGCAATGTAAACAATGATGTCTCAACAGCAAACTGTCCGTACAGTGCTGCACAGAAACCTTATAATCAATTTTATATGCAGCCTTAATGAAATGCACTTAATTTACTAGGCAGGTTTCAGTAGAATGGGAAGAGTGACACTGACATTTGGACTACAACTTTTGAATCACATCACTGCAGGTCCCTTAAATTGTGGCTGTGAGCTGCACAACAACACAGACAGATCAGAGTGGACTGAGTGATGTATTACAGAGGGAGAGCTGCTCATAAAGTTGCTAGATTTGCTGGATTTTACTCACTAGAGATCTTCAGGTGCCAGGATTCATGGGCTTTGGAGGGGATTCATCTTTGATCTTGCCTTCTCAGCACTTCCCCTATATCTATCTCTGAGAAGCAACACTGTTCCATTCGGAGTATGCCATCATTTACAGACAAGCCCACGCATCAGTAAATCTCCTCAAAACTAAAATTGAGGGGGCTGTTCATGTAGAATATGAAAACCTAAATTGTAATCAGTACCACAAATCGATATAGATTTTTGGCCACCGATGTTGATACCGAAACATTTGGCAATGATTCCTAAGAGGGCGTTACTAAGTGCTTACGACAAAGACATTAATTAGGGGTTGATTTTTTACAGTGTAAACATATACTTAATTATAACTATAATAATAAAGAGAACACATACAACCAAATTTAGAGAACTTGAATTAAGAAAATGACATTAATGCACATAATTTTTTGTAAAACCAAAGGTTCGGCATACATAGGCATATGTATGCGATTAGGCATACATAAACGCTCATATTGATATGTCTATGAAAGACTATAATGTATTGTAGGTGAACCGATAAAACAAATATAAATCAAAATAAATGAAGCTCAACTTTATATCCAATGTGTTTGATAAGAATATTTTTCATTTGTTTGGTCCATATGTCATTTTAGCAACGCACTCGTCCTTCTTGCCATGCGTCTGTATTTTTAAGTCTCTTCCTTTCAGTGACATTTCAGGGTTGTTTTTTACCACTGCTCGCCACAGTGGTATGTGGCCCTTGGTAGTAGTGATCAACAGACTTTAATCCAAACACTTATTTGATGTTTCCAGACAACTCGGACCCTGACTCGAAATGAGCTGAACAAACAGTTGAATCAGGTGACTGTTGCCTCAGTGGACTTTAAAGGCTCCAAAGGAAATGTCAGTATAGTTCAAATTACGCATGATCAGATGAATGAGAGTTGCTTTGTTGACATTTCTGCCTTGCCCCCCCCAACAAAAAATACCAAATAGTATTTCAGGGGGGGTTCACCCATAATGATGTTTTTCAAGAATTTATTTTGTGGTTATGAAACAATCTTGCTCACTTCTATTGGCGAGTTGGATTTATAATTGAGTGTGATCCACAAAAACCTTTGAATCCAATTCTAAACGGTCTGTGTTCACATCAAAAGCTGAATACTACTTTGTGTCTGCACTGTGTGATGACCCGTCACAAAGTAATACGTCATAGGTATTAATTAACAATCCCATGAAAAAGTTGAGACAGGGCTTTTTGCAAACTTTTCTCTGTGATGTTGACTTATCACCTTTGACTCGTATAACAGTGGCCCGTCACTCAGGGGTGGATCACATGCTTTGTCTGAAGCAGCCCATGTCTCATTTATCACCTATTGTTCAATAATGAGCCACTACAGCTTCCACTCACTCCTGGCAGGAGCAAAAAAAATAAAAAATCTGAGCTGATGCAGTCAGCCTCTCATTATTGTGTGATTACTTGCCCAAGGGGGAAAAAAAAACCTCAGATACACACACAAGCACGTACATGGATGTAATTACCAGTGGCATGGAAGACATTTCAAACACTGAAACACATCCATGTCTGACATTGGCAGTAACACTTCTTCTTACCCTTGGGCATTTTCTATTTCTGACCTCTTCTAACAAGCCATCTGTGAGATGAGCGTGTTGTTTGGATTATAAATTGTTAATTTTAAATTGTTGATAAGTCCATCAGTATCAGGTGACAGCTGGCTGAGTCTTGTTCAGCACCAGCGTAATAATGACTATGTTGATTTCCTTGGGAATTGTTAGGTATTATTTGGATTTCCTTCGGAAACACTATTGATAGTAATTATAATTATTACCATCGGTGATGAGAATGAAAATGATGATGGCTTGGTTTTGGCTGTAATTCCCTTTAATCCTAAATACAATTTGAAGGCTATTATATGGTACACGGTTGGGATATGGTGCACAGCGGTATTCCTGTCCTGCTGAGTTGTATTTGTCTTCCTGCAACTGCTTCCTGGCACAGATGCTTCGCACCACACAGCATGTGCTTAATAGCACATGCATAATAGGAAATTATACACAAAAAAAGCACAATGCTTTACTTTAGATGCTTTGGAGCCAAATTCTTATAAACTTCATCCACTAATGAAAAGCAGCAAACTGTTGTCTATCAAAGAGCCTTCTCAGTGTCCCTTCGCTTCAGGTTAATAGCTGAGGTACATCTGATCCTGCTTTGTCAGGGATTTTGTCAAAGAAACTAAGACATCTTATAAACTAGATACATCTCAGAGACAGCATGTCGAGAAAATGACATTCCCAATATAAGGAGGTGTCATTGGTCCGTGGAGCCTCATTGCAAATAGGCTGTTTGGGGCCTAAAGCATAATGGAAATGATTTACCAGGTTTGACAAGTAATTTTTGAGGGGTATTTCCTTCAAAAAAAAAGGGCCTCAAGTCATGTTTTTTGACAGCTCATGATCAGGACAGTATCTCCCCAAGGACCTTGAAGGTCTCAATGACATTCTGAAGACTTTTTTTCCTTTTGGGAAGGAAAAAATAAAATGCACCATGCCAAGGAAGCTGTATTCTCTCAGCCTTAAACCTGCAAATAACTTGAGAACTTTTACAGCATATCTATGAGAAAATACAGCATTTTCATAGCCTGAAATAATATTGTAACCTACATTCTTCTGTTTTATTCAATACCTGGAATGTATAGAGTGTATAGGTTTGAAACATGAAAAAGGGCTTCAATATAAAGTGTATAGTTCTCAAACATGAAAAAAACTCAAATCAGGTCAGCGTTCCCTCTTTTTCAACAGAGCGAGCACTGTTGATGTTTTACATTATGAGGTTTTCCCACATTCTTACTATGAAACTATGAAATGTCCTTCATTATATGATATTTATGGCACATGCAACAGGCTTTGCAGAAACAAACTATTGTGTTTCCTAGAACAAACTGCCTCCATAACAATGTCAGTATATCAATAATCAGAGAAAATGGACACAGCTGGCCGCTGCTGTGCTGAGGAGAACACTGGTGTGACGAGGACAAGCTGTGCCGATGGCTTGTGTCTGTGAGATAAAACCCCTGCCAAAGAAAAATGGGAGCATTTACAAATCCCTCACATTTGAGCACAGGCACACACATTAAAAAGGAGGAATGGTCAGAGTTTGCCCTCTTGTTACTGCAGAAATGGAGGTGTTCAGGACAGCAGGGGGTGACAGCTTCTTGATGGGAGACATCACCTAGACTGCTGACATATAACGGAAGAATACAAATGTGATATGCCCTTGGATCAAAGGACCGATATAGAAGTTTGAACAAAACTTCAACGTCTCGCCCGCTGTTAAAAAACAGAGCTGCTGTTGTTTTTCTTTTTCTGGTATTCTAAGTTATGTTTCGATATATACAAGGGATATTCTTCATCTTGTCCTATGTTCTAAAAAAAAATACAATGTGAAGGACTAGTTAAACATAAACAAACTCGGAATAACCCTGAATATTTTAAAAGGAGCAATTTTCAAACATTTTAAACATAAAATAATAAACAAGTGAGGCGTCTAAGTGAATTTCTCCACCATCAAAATGAAATGATGAAAAGCTTATTCTGCCAAAA